TGTCCCCCACATTTCTGGCAGCTGCAACTCCAGCTGAGCTTTGGCCACACAAATTTTCTCCCTACAGTGACAAGCAGCATCTCTGAATTCTTCCCATGTCACCTAACCCTGCTTCCACTGGGCACACCCCTTCCTTTTTTGCCTTATTTCCAAGAGAAGATCCCTGCTCAGCCAAGCCTGCCTTCTGCCTCACCTGCTTGACTTCCAGCATCTGGGAATTGTTGCTCCTGTGCCCTTAGGAGGTGCTGTTTGAAAAGTGGCCAGCACTGATGGACCTCTGCTCCCATCTGAAGGAAGGGCCATGAGCTGTCCTTCTCCTGGGTAAGCTCCCTCCCCATACCATGTCACTGGGAGCACAGGGAGGTGCTGTATGAGGGACAGCAGCCCAGACTTAGGTGATGTGCTAAATTCAAGGAAAACGTGTGCAGCACTCCACTTCTAATGCCCCCATCCTTCCAGAGCTGGATGTTGGATAAAGTAACCAACTGTTCCCCTCTGTGGGAACATGAAATATCCTCTCCCCTCCCCAGGCAGTCACATCACTCCAGAATAGCAGATGCTGATGCTCCCCCACACACTGAGCATTGGCAGGTCATCAAGTGGCCCAGACTTGTGCAGAAGCCACTTTTATCCAGAGCAAAGAGCAGCTGGACTATCCATTTGTCGGGATGTCAGGATGGTTCCTGTGGATGTCCCATGTTTTGGCACAGCTCACCTTGCTGTAGCTGCTCCCAGGGAAACAAATGCCCACCAGACCACGGGCAGACAGGTCTGGGGTCACCCAGCAGGAGCAAGCACACAAACCTGCACGATGTGTCCAACTCCAGCCAGTGCCTTCAGGGACTGTGCTGACAGGACTGGTACACTCCTCCTACCGTGGGGTTTAGGCTTTTTCCTCACACTCTTAACACATCATTCACATGGGCACTGCTCCAGGTGGAGAGGCACAGGGGGGTGAGCAGATGTAAAAACACTCCCCATGTGTGCAGGCAGTAACTACAGGCTGCCCTACACAACCCTCAGCAGGGTCCTGATTTCTTCACAACCAAGGAAAAGCTGGAAATTCAAAACTGACAGAAGTATTTTCACACATGCATCAAGTTTAAAGGTCAGGAACTCAGTACATAACTGGTTTCATTTTATGTAGTATATCCCAGCACAAATACTGATGGCAAGATTAAAGGTGATAGCAAACCTGTGCTTTGGAGCTCAAGCCCATTTCTCACCAGAGCCCATGAAGAAGCTGCTGTAGGGACTTCAGTCTGTGTTTTCCTGTTCCAGAACTCCATCACCTCACCCTGGAACATCCAGCCACCTCCCATGTGGAAACCAACCAGTATAACCCTTGCAGTCGATTTGTTTAGTGCCTCATCCAGCTTTATCAGCAGCACCCATGACCCAGGCACCACCACAGGTCACCCTGGAAACCCAGAGGGCTGCTGGAGTCCAGCCCACTGTGTCCCACTCCAAGGGCTGCTCAGCTCCAGAAGATCCCGCTGGCAGTGGAGGCTCTCACGAGCAGGTGACGTCAGGAACACAGGCCGAATTCCAATCTCAGCCCTTCTGTCCTAAACCACCAGAGGGCAGCTGGAAATGCACCACAGACTAGTGCAGACACAGTGAATATTCCATTCCCTTTCACAGCTGCCCCCCGCAGGAACTGGAAAGACACCCCAGCAAACATTCTCTGCCCTCCAGGTGAGAGGAGCTGCCTGTCCATGCTTCAGGGAAGCCCTCTTGTGCTGCCAAGCAGTGCCTGACAGTACACACTGCACAGGGTCTGTGCCCATCTGGTCCTCAGCTCTCAGAGCTCACCTTGACAACTCAAGCCAAAAACCTCCTTGTGGTAAGGAAAAGTTTACTAATTTCCAGGGACCACTAGAATAGGGGGTGATCAAACAAATACACCCCCTTGGTTACTCTGAACCTCTGCCAAAGCTGAGAAGTAGGCAGAGGGCAGCAGCATCAGGCTGGGTCTTAATAAATACAGAATCTATACCCAAGAGAGACCCCAAAATCAGAGGAGCCCTGATACAGATCAGGAGTTCCCTCGCTCCTCATTCACACTCCTCCACCTGAGCTACAGCCAATTCCTTTTGTATCCAGGCTTTTGTCCTGGTCTAAGCCCACAATAAATGGTATTTTTATCTCACCTCACTATACTGAGGAGTTGGTCAGTTAGCACCAGCTTCCAAGGGAAGAGGAGGGAGGAGGCTCTGGACTTGCCAGTGTGTTTATGGCAGGGCAGCAGATCTCTGGCTGAGATAACCTTCTTGTTGAGCTCCAGCCTGGGCCCGACTACCAGTTTCTTGAGCAATCCTGGACAAGTCATTTAGGTCAGGAGTTCACAGAAAGCTCCAGCCAACTCCTCTCAGCTCACAGTTTCTTTTTTCCCAGACTCAGTTTCAGGAACTGATTCAGCTCTTGAAAGGGACAGATCACCACTGGGACTAAGGTGACAAAACCAGCAGAAATGCACTGCCAGAGGGAGGGGTCTGCTTCTTTCACCACCTAGAACCAGTTTATTCATAGTTTAATCACCTCGGGATTATTTTAATTCTTTAAGTTTTTGAAGCAGTAATTTCCTCTTCCTTGCTTGATCCTCTCTGTTTTACTGCTCACCAGCAGGAAGGTCTCTGGGCACCCGAATGGTGACTTGCACTCCTCCTCGGACAGGAGCCCAGGGGTTGAAGAGAAACAATAGCAAGGAATGTTTCTCAGAGGAAGCAGAGTGTGAGCAGCCAGAGGAAGCAAAGCAACACACCTCCCCAGCACAGTGCCCCAGAAGCACCCCACAGGAAAGAGCTGCACAGGGAGAGAGAGAGAGGCTGGTTCACCTCAGCCAGGGCAGCAGGAGGGCTGGGTGGGGCAGTGCTGACAATGCTCTTGCAAGTCCCACTCAGAGTCTGGTTTTAAAAGGAGGCAGTTGCTGCCAGCTGCAAACCAAGACTGAGGCCAAGTACCAGCAGACACTGCTGCCTCTTGGGAACACACCAAAATCATGGGTCTGTTTTTAGCCATGTACAGTAGCAAGTGGCAGGAGCAGGTCTGCCAAGTGAAACCACCCCAACAGTAACACTGAGATTTCGGGGCCCTTCAAACTCCCTCCAGCTGGGCCCCAGTGACCCAAACTCCATTCACTGCTGGAGGGCAATACCCATTCCCATTTTACCCAGTACAAATCCCACCAGCACACTCCAAAACCACTCTGGGATGTGAAATAGAGCATGTAAAGGACAGACAACTCAGGAGATTCGGACATCGATGTGATGTAACACTAAAGTAGCTGCACCCTGTCAGATCTCCCACCTGGGAGCCCCTTAGGACAGAAGGGCAGACACATGTAACCCAGGCAAAGGGGACTATCCCAGGTGGGACTGCTTGGAAAGCCCTTCAGGCACCTGGTGATGTACAACAGTTTGGGCAATGCCATGGAACCGACTGCTCAGGAGCCTGGGTGACTCAGTTGGACAGCTGCTCCCAAAAGCTCTTCTCTCAGAGGTCTTATCAAATGTGCCCATCATACCCTCCCCATATTTCAATTAGGGCCACACCTCACTAAGTATAATGCCCAGCATTGACAGCAAGAACCAGCAAATTACTGGGAAGGAGAGGGAGGAGTGAAGGACACAGCTGAGCAAAGGAGCTGTCTCCTGGGAAGGCTGCAGAGCTCAGCCTGTCTCACTGATCTCCCAAACACTTCAGAAAAGATGACCATCACTGCATCTGCTTTCAACAGCACCATTTCTTCCATAGTTTCCCACTGCCCCACAGGGAAACAGGCAAGGGAGAGCAAGAAAAAGCTCATGACTCCAACATGTTCCTGATGGCACAGCACAGGAAAGCTTGGAAAGAAAAAACAGCCACCAGTTTAGTACAATCTTAGCACCAGTCTGAGTTACAGCAGCCATGCAGAGTCCATGCCTGCACCAGAAGCTACTGAAATAGCAGGATTTGCTGAATCAGCAACTTCCCACAGTTTCACAGTGGGAAACTTCCACATTTTAACTAATTCAGCAAGGGAGGGAGTGAGCAAAAGTTGTGCTTAAAGTTATCTCCTGACTCAGGAAAGCAATTGCTTCCCTGGAACACTCTTCCCAGCAGTAATCAACCTTGGAGTCCAGCCTCATAGCTTGGATTTCAGATGCAAGTACGTCCCCTACAAGAGGCAGGACTTTTCTCCACATTAACTACTTCCCTATTTAGCTGATAGTCCTCGATTTCCATATTTCAGCTCACTGGATTAGCTGTTAAAGGGGCAGAAGCCTGTTACAGCCTGCTGTAAGTACACAGACAAGCCACCAAACTGTCACCAACAAGTACCAGCAGAACCTTCACCAGGAGCCCCAGGGCTCCAGCCAAGCCTCCCCACGGAGAAAACAGCAACTAAAAACTGAACTGCGAAGTTAAACAGCAGCACTAATCACTAGCACACATTTTACACTAAGCTTTGGGATTACAGCACCCTCAAATCAGCTTCTTAAAATAAAAGTGACCTTTAATGAGGCTCTTTGGAATGTCTTTTAATAACTAATACAAGTTATTTATCAACAGTGTAAAATGTCACTGTTCCTTTGGAGCGTTAACAGAAAGGTGTAACAGGGTTTCAGGGTAGGTATGATGTCATTTGTTCCTTCAGGGTTTTTGCTATCTGCCCATGAGCAGGGAACAACAGGGAACTTCTTGACAGAAGAGAAGCAGGAGCCCAATAAGGCCCAAAAGCCAACTTTTACTATTTTGGGAGCACGCACACTGAGTATTCCTTTCACTAAGAGCTACCCAGCCCTCTCTTCAGAACTAGACCTGACAGCAAAGATGTTACATCAAAGATTAGAGCAATCTTGACAGGACTGAGGCCAGAAGCAAGATTAAACATTAAGGAAAGACCCAAGCCAGTTCACAAGAAGGAGAGTGGGGCTCACAGGGGATAAAAGCCATTATTTACAAGTCCTTCACACTCAGAAGAGAAAGGTAAAGGAAATAACTACCCTCAGGCAGGCTTGTGAAGATACTTTATGTTTAATACATCTGAAAAGAATGCATATACAAAGAACTTAGACATGAAAAAGCATTGGTTCAACACTAATGAGTCTACGAGAAATCGGAATTTTGGAAGATGGAGAAGATTCACTAAGTCTTAAAAAACTTTGAATTTGCAGGCCAAAATACATATTTGGTAAAATCGTTACGACACTGCAGTTGGTCTGCACACAGACCCTGCACATGATCCTCAGGGGCTGGAGTCCACCTTACAGGTTCAGGTTGCAGGAGAAGGGGTTCCATGAACTGGTCCCGGTATGGTGCCACACTAAACACCAGAAGCCCCTCCCTGCAGTTCCTTCCCACTGACACAGGTCTGTCTTTCCACCCCTCCCTGAAGGATGCCAAGCCATCCAGCAGGAGATGCACCATCAGAGCCAGCTCCAAAGGCCATGGCTGCAGACCCTGGGCCCCCCTCAGGGTGTCCAAGCAGCAGTGTATGTGCAGATCATGGTAAGCATTTCTCTAACAGTTAAGGATTGGCAGAAGATGGGTTTGTTAAAAGCTGACTGATGGAGCTAGGCATGCTTCCAAAGGTGCAGTTATTTCTTCATCACGAGCCAAAAGCTTATGATGGCAACAATTAAGTGAGACACTGGCAAGTTAGTTTCAAGTCTGATGGTGCATCCAGAGAAAATGGTTCTCCTATTCCTAAGGCTTCATAATTTAGAGGATGGGGTAGAAATTTATGACCTGCACAGTAAAAAGCCAGCGGAAAAAAGATACAAGGCAACTTCAGAGGAGATGCATTTTCTGCACTCCTTCTTAGAGAAGCACCAGCTTGGGACATTTTGCTTTCCTGACTAAAGTCTGCTCACACCCAGGCTGCTGACTGAATGCAGAACAGCCCTACAAGGTATTGAAACCAGAACTAAGTCTTGCCAGACTGGCTTAAGGGGCAAGGCTTCAGTAAAACAGCCTAAAATTAGTCTGTTACAGAAAAAGTCATTGAGCATGCCTTGATGTTAAACAAAAAAAAAAAAAATTAGAAACAATAAACAAAATAAAAAACTAGTACTGATCAGTGTTTTCTGATAATACATAGTTACTCGAAATTAACTAGTTTAACTGAATTGAGGGGGCACTGGGGAATAAACACTAACATTCTCATCTCACACAGGGGTTGTGTGGGGGAGATGGGAGTGCAGGGCATTTGTCATTATTGCAAAAAAACAAATTTTAGAATTTGTATCTTTAGTTTGATTTAAACATTGCTTTTAATGTGACATCAAACACCAGCTTTGCAGAAGGGGCAGTGGAGGGACGTTCATAGCAGCACACACCTGCGGGTCTTCTTCGGCTCCGGGGGCTCCAGGGCAGCCAATATCGCCTCGTCAAATACATTCTTTAGGCCTTTCTGAAAAGGGGCAAAGAGAGAGAAAAGGGGCAGTCTCATTTTTGAGCTTTCACACAAAACAAAAACACCCCCAGAAAGCCAAGTGGCAGCCACACCCCTCTAGAGACAGATGGAGGTTTGCCATCCACAGCTCTCAGAGGCTCCATCCGAGCTGCGTTTGCTGTGCCCGGCACCTCCTTTTGGGAGCAGGAACACAAATCCTCTGAGAGCAGACCAGTGTACTTCACAGGAAGCAAAACACACGCACCAAAGTCGTTTCCTTAAGGCAATTTTTATGATTAACTGGCTACTCACACATTTCACATGCTAATGACAAAGCAGGAAGTGCTGCATTCAGATGGAAGAGCTCTACCTGGAGCACGCCTGGCACAGCAGACACCCCAGCCGTGTGTCAGGGGAGGAGAGACAAGGCAAGCATGCAATGATAACCTGGTCCAGTACACCCTCTCGTTGGGCATCCAGCCCTAAACATCCCAGGGTTAGAAGCAGCCAGGCAGAGCCCAGAAGCTGCCATGGCAGCAGAGAAGTTGAGCTGGGAGGAGTACACAGAGGTACCATACACTGCATTAAGGATTAAACTGGAGCCAGGAGATGCAATTCGAATAAAGCTTCATCAGTCATTTATACAAACAACTGCAATTTTTAATTTCAAAATTTAAAGACAAGCTACAATCGATGTTTTCTCCTTAAAACAATAAAAATCAGAAGCACGATAGTAAGCAGCAGCTTTACATCTTACAGTAACAGGCTTTAAGGATCTATTATTGAAATGAAGAGCTCTACCATGTTAGTGAAAGCAAGAATTTTAACAGTTCATAAAGCAGTCGCAAGTACATTGATATTTCCTTCCCCCCAAGGACTGACAAATACTCCACTATAGCACAGACAGCCAAAGCAACAGCAACAGAAAAACATCTCACTGCACACAGGAGAACCAGAAAACCCTTCACGTTACAGCATCACTTGCAGATCACCGGTTCAGGTACTTTTGTCATGCAAATACAGTTTACAAGTTCACAAGTAGAAATTGAAAACACAACGCATTTGTTTCTTCCAGTTGGATTCGGGAAGATCAAACATCATCTCTTATTCTTTTGATCTTTCTTTAAATAACAGTGGTAACCAAATCCTTTCCCCCAACAGCCTGAATTATAAAGCTAGTCACATCTGGCAACCCAAGCAGCAGGGAGTTAAGCGAGTCCAGTTCGTGTTCCACAGTCACAACGTTTTTACTAAAGATCTCAAGTACTGTTTTTCAGTCCAAGGGCTAATACAGAGGTTGCTCTAAGATGGTAAGCAGGCACAACAGCTTTCAATCAAGGTGGTTTGATTCATTTTTAACCACGTTTCTACAGTAGTGGGACAGAGGAAGCAGCAGCAAGAGGGGAAGAAGAAAGTTTAGAATATACAGCACTTCCTTTTGGGCTGAGTTTCCGGAGGCTCGAGGGCAGCTAGGATAGCCTCATCAAACACATTCTTCAGACCTCTCTACAAGACAGAGGGGAGGAGAAAAAACAGCAGCCAGGTTAGAGGATTAGAGAAAAACAAGCAGATACAAAGAGCATTCAGGATAGAGCAGGCTGAATTCACAGAGGCAGTAAACAGATTTACTTTGTGAAAAAACAAAGTAGATCCCAGGACGAAATCTCATTTAGATGACCCAAAAGTCAATGACAGAGACAGACAGGACATTAGACAGACAAGGTCAGACAAAACACTCAGAAGGGCAGAGGCACGAACACAGCAATAACATGGGGGTGGGAGCCACACAAGGGGTGGTAGTTTCCACTCCACTGCTGTACTTACACTGAGGGAGTTTACAGGGGAGTAAATGGAGTGGAGAGCAGCTTGCCCCACCACAGGGACCCAAAAGATCAGCTAAACCTTTTGTAATCACCCCCTGTGGATAAGTGAGCACCTCGGATGCATGGACTACTGCTCCCAACTCCCCCAGTGGCAGCTGGTCCAGAGCAAAGGCTCCAAACAACTCCTGCTTTGTGAATTCAGCCCCTGAATAACTGAAGGTCTCGAGATGGCTGGGAACACACAACCTGGGATGGAAGCAGGACGTCCCTGGTAAGCCATCGTCACTGGCAGTCAGTAACTCCCAGCCTTTAGAGGTGATGCAATACCTTACCAGTGCTACTCTGACACCTGGAGCCAGCATGGAAATAATGCATTTCAGTTATTCAGTTTAGTCTCCAAAGCCAGTATAACCACGGGAAGACAGAAACAGCATTAGGACTGGAACAGCTGGGATCCAGCACCAGACAAGCAGTGACAGGGCTGCAGGACTCTGCAGGGGTGACACCAGAGCACAGAGCATGCGTTTGCTGTAAGCACAACAGGAACTCTGCAGGGTGTTACTGCTCCCACACAGCCCTGCCAAGTTCCACACCACAGCACAGGTAAAACCTGGCTCAGTTTAGGCTAACTGGACTCGCCTAAATCTACTGTCGTGAGTGCAACCCTCATAAATTCATTGAGAACTGCCTTATGACAGCTAAAGGCAAACAGAAAAGCTTCAATTAAATCCTGTGAACAACTGCAGTCTGTGCAAAATTTAGACTTTCTTCTCTTTAAGATCGTTCAGATGTAACTGGTTTCTCCCTCGCAGGTTATACTGGATATGTCCCTTTTAGAAAGACTTTAATCTTGTTTTACTGAAGCACATATACAGGAGAGCTCTAACGCAGTTCCATCTGGAAGCATTTAAGGCCATCACATCACATACAAGATTATACTTGTATGTATAATCTTGTTTAAGGAAACTACAGTGTACATCCTGTACAGCCTCCCCAGCAACTTTTTCTTTTTTTAAAATGAGTTGCAACCCAGGCTGACAAAAGAGCTGAAGACTTCAGATAAATAATGCCTCTGAAGTCTGTATACTAATTAGATTTCCTTTCTCTGCAAGAATAAGGCTGTAGCATAAACTCAATACTGCACTGTTAGACAGATTAAGAATCCAGGCAAGGCAAGAATCAAGAAAACAACCTTCCTTAATTCTCCTACTCAGGGACTTCTTTTTCCTACTGCACGGGATGAATTTGTTCAGGAGCCCAGAATTTGGGATTTGTTTTGAAGGACCCAGCAAAAATATGAAGAGGAGGAAAAGGAGATAGGAACAAAACCATTGTGAAAATAGGACCAGAGTTAAAAGCCTGGATGACCAAGAGTAACAACACAAAGGGAACTGTGCTCAATACCACAGGCACACAGGCCCATACTCCAGCTAAAGTCATGGCTCCTGTGCTGCACTGGGAAAAACTGAGATTAGGCTTCCTTTACTCCCTCCATTCATGGGCACACTTTATAAAGTTGTGTCAAAACTGTCAACCCAGCACCCAGGGGGGAAAAAGAACTGAATTCAGCACTCTCCCCGGTGTTAGGTACTAGCACTGGGCTTTAGAAAGTCCACTCAGACATTTAACTCTTCAGCATAACAGAAGCAACAATCACTGCAGCTGCCATCTGTTTGTCAGTCACCCTTTCCTAACAGCAAAGCCTTATTATCCACTCCTCACAGTGGCACTGGGCACTATTTGGTAGAGAAAGGTTGGAGACAGACACTGAAAATGCCCTCATCACAAAAAGGGGTTCCACAACCTGAGGAAAGGGGGATAAAATCAGCTCCCCAGTACAGCACACGTGCAAACTCAGGGACAAGATATTCTGTCTGTACAGAAAAGACTCACAAACTCAGCCTCTCATGACTGACCTGGTACAAAAACATGCTAGCTCCATGATTCTATGATCACTTGCTACTGTGGTGTCAGTCATCTGTAAATTAGTTGGGAAGGAAAAAACCACCCTGGACTGCTGAGGTGAACCATGCAGACAGCAGCCAAGGTAAAAAGAGACTAAATATCCAGCTGAGTCTCACTTCAGCTGAAACCAGCTACTGCTGCATTGCCTTGCAGGGAGGAAAACAATCCTCCTGGCCAGGAAAGCAGCTGGCTTCTGTGTTCAGCAAACTGCCAGTGAGATCACTGCAGGAGCTCCACACCACCTTCACAGATCAGCTACGCTGCTGTTTGCCAGATACTGCTGACAGAGCCTGGGAAAAGGTGTTTTGTGAGGGGAGTCAACCACAAAAAAAAGGAAGAAGAATGGAGCAGATGCAAACCAACTAGTCCTCCAGGTGAGAAGGCTTCTGAACCCTCCTCCCAGGTCACTCCTGACTCCTAAAACCATCAATGGGTATACAAGCATTAGTGCTCTGGAAGAAATTCAGGCTGAGCTTCCAAGTGCATAAGGCATTTCACTGCAACAGAGACAGATTAGTCTATCTGGAAACAGAAAAAATGGATAAACGCTGACATTTTTTTATCATATCAGCTCTTGCTCTGGTAATTCTAAGTGTTTCCATGCAATCTGAGCAGACTATACAAGGCAAGTCTAAAGCTACAGGGGAAAGGGTCTCAGTGAGCAATACAGCACAATGGCCCTGGCAGGTATTTATCCAACTATCAGCTTCTACAGCCTAGTTAACAGCAGCATTCAGGATGTGTCAGACACCATCTAAAACAGTATTTTGGGGCTGAACAGATCTAAGAGAACTACAGCTCAAGCACAAATAACCCTCAGCTTGCCTGTGGGTGGTAAGGAAGCACAGCCAAAACCCCCTTTAGATCAGGGATTCCCAGGATGAACCACAGCATGCCTTGCCACACCACCTCCAGTGCCACTGTCCTGCACAGCTCCAGCACAGCTGCTTCATTTGCAGCAAACACTCAGGCAAAGCTTTGTTACAAAAAAAAAAAGCCTCCGGATCCAAATGGAAGAGCCAACATGCAATCTGGGCAAAAGGGGTAAGATAAATAAAACTTCAGGCTTTGACAAGTTCTGCAATAAAGCTTTGTGCTCAAGGAAATGAATGCACAACATCACTGGAGTGAGGTGCTTGATACTGTGCACCCCTGGCTCCGTGCACATCAGGCAGTGACAAATTCTTTACAGAGTAGCATTAAGGGAGTTGTTAAAGGGTGGCAGTCAATTCTCCAAGTGTAGGCACACCAGATTCAGCTCCCAGGGTATCCAAAGTCAAGGTAAAAGGCCAACTAGCCAGAAAATGGCTCCTACCCTAGCATTCCTAATTTAAAGGGAAAGGATAATCAGGTTTCCTGGCCTCAAATCAGCTACTTTAGTTGCCTTTAGACTCACGTTCACAAGTTAGTTCACACTTCGGGTTTATGTCTTAAGAACTATTTCATTTTTCTTTTCTGTTTCAACAGAACTTCCATCTGAAGGCAGGCACAGGAAACAGCTCACCACCAGCTGCATAGGAAGACAAAGCAGCTCTAGACCACGAAGGCTTTCAGTCTTACAGGTACCAGAATTAACTTGTCTCAGAGGTTTTTTTTTTCCCCTTTGCCTGCTCTCTTCAGTAGTGAGCTGCACACTGTGCCCTAACCCAATTATTGTCTGTAACACACCTTCTAAGCTTTCAATAGTTATTCTTCTCCAGACAGAAGCAAACACAGCAAGCACATTCTCCTCCATCACTCCTCTACACTAGGCCTAATCCTCACAGGCTGATTTTCTTTGTACCACTGCCAACTCCCCGTGCCTTAGAACAACGAGACAAAGAGAAAGCTACAGTGTCAACAGCAGAAACAGAACTTATACCCTTTCACATCCACTTGGAGCTGGTTTTCCCTGGAACTGAAAAAAGAAAAAAGCAAGCAGAAATGGTCAAAGCCCAACCCTCACCTGCGTAAGGGCAGAGCATTCCACGTATTTGACGGCCTTCAGGTCCCGGGCCAGCTTCTCAGCCGTCTCTGGGGTTATGGGCTTCTGCTTGTTCTTGGCAAGTTTCTCAATTGTGGAGGGATCATCTCTTAGATCAATCTGGGTCCCAACAAGCAGGAAAGGAGTCTTTGGACAGTGGTGAGTAATTTCAGGTACCCACTAAAGACAGGGAAGACACAGCATTTGTTATTAACCACCCGTGATAACCACCTGACGCTTCAGAGGCTTTTTCAGGCAAAGTTCAACCGACCTTTTCTTTCACATTTTCAAATGAAGAAGGAGACACCACTGAAAAACAGACCAGAAATACATCTGTCTGTGGATAGCTGAGGGGTCGTAATCTATCATAGTCTTCCTGACCTACAGAGGAGAAAATGAACACAGCATTAGATACAGACAATAAAATACTGCCCTTTACAGCAGGTTAGAATGCATGTTCCAGCACAATAACATTCCTATGACTAATCCTAACTCTTAAGCAAAGAACCAAGCATACCCTGAACCCAAACATTTGGAGATGCCAGTTTTCAAATCCAGAATTCATTCAGTTGCTATGTAACAGTGAGCTGCTGAAAGTCACAGGCGAGGTGGGAAGTCTCCAACACATTTTTAGATCAAACACCCTCAGACTGCATAACACTTTCCTCAATTATGAAGAAAAGTTGCAGAACATGGATCGGGTTATAGATGAGGTCCTCTGCACCTAGTCCATTCCATACAAGGATTATGCCATCAAATTTCATTACCCTGCAAAAAAACCTGCTGTTTGAAGGAGGGGAAAAAAAACCCAACACAGGGACCACACAATGCTGCAGGCCCCTACAACGGGCCCACACGTGTCAGGAAGGAACCTCTCTTCTCCACCTAACTCTTGATCCATGAACTAGGGGAGCCTGCAATAATAGGGACATAGGTCACATTTTGGGAGGAGAACACAAAGAGCTAAGTAAAGCAGACAGGTGACCAGACATTCAGAGACACAGCAGGAGCCAAGGACTCAGCTGGAAGACCCCAGACTTTTGCACACAGGCTGTAAGGGATATAAAAGCCCAGGGTTTGCTTTGTTCAGGGTCCCTCCTCAGAGGCACTAGCTTGAGCTGTTACTTTTGTTTTGCACCATGATTAAATTATTTTAAAGATCTGGACTTCTGAGACATCTATGGGGAACCTGAGGCTGAGCCAGTAAGGAAACCCTGTCTGACTGTGTAAGTGTGGGGTGTGTAGGGAGTCCAGCAAGGCCCCATCAGGTCACTGGAGCTGCTGCTGCAAAGGGGCTTCCCCTGCAGAGTCCCAGCTCAGGTGGTGGAGTGTGACTGTCACAGTGGCTCCTGGATGGTGGGACAGGAAAGCTTCCTTAACAGCCACAGGGTTTAACTGGAAACCTAAGACTGTTTCCTTAATCAAATTAGACACTAACAATGCATTTAAGAACACAGCTGGAAACAGATTAAATTCTATCAGGACAATTTTAGGTGATAGCTTATGAACTAAGGTCCCTAGAAGGACTCTTCTGAAGAAGAGTTTGCAACACCAGCTGCTGCCACACCACTTTGGTATTACTGTGTGGTGGGGACTGGGTACCCTGCAACTAAACCAGTTTCTACCCTTTCTTGCTAACTTTTCACACACTCAAAGCAGGATGTAGTTGTTTAATCACTGCATGTTTCTCCAGCCAGAAACTGAAACACAGAGCTTAAACAAGAGGCCAGCAGATTTTTAATTCTAAAAAGCACATAGTGAAAGGGCTTAGGAAATCCACACCCTGATTTCATCCACGTTAAGGATGCAGAAACATAGGCACATTTAAGACATTCTAATGTTAGTAATTCTGTCTTGACGTTTGGTTAAAAAATTGGCTATTTACTAAACAAAACCCACATACAATCCACATTTTATTCAACACAAATTTCTCCTTTAATTTCATTTAAAAACATGGAAACCTTTATCTTTCATGTATCACCTAGATAAGAGGTAACAGTCTGAAAGCTGTCATCTGGTGTCACAAAACAGCTCTAAAAGAAGTGAAAGGTTTTCTTATTTTGCTTTTGAGTTTTTTATTGTTGCGTTTTTGGTTCTTTTTTAATAAACTCACTTTAGCAACTCTCAAAAGGTCAGGAATGAAGAATCAAGAGAGATTTTTTCCCCTTCCATTAAAAAAAACCTCAACAAAAAAAACCCCTAACTGTATGTCTTCATGTTGCACATCACCTCAGGTAAATTTTGGGCAGGTACAATGACACAAGCACTCGTTTTCTCACCTGCAGTATCAAAGAGGCCCAGGGTGTAAGGCTCTCCTCCAATCATCACTGTTACAGCATAGTTATCAAAAACCTGGCAAGAAAAGAAATACACATTTAAGAGGATGTGAATAAGCCATCTCTCAAACTATCATCCCACTCACTTTGTCAGAGCACAAGAGATACCTGCACAGAACAAGAGAACCATCAGGCTTACAGTGCTATGACCACTAAGGCCAGTAACAGAACAATTCCATTTGGAACAGGAATACTCCAGCTGCTTCCATGAGGTACTAAAGCAAAGGCACACGAGGTACACATGGTAAAACCACTGAGCAAAACACCTACAGCAGTGCTTACCTGTTACCACAAAGAGGTTTCCCACACTGCCACAGAAATCCCCACCTTCACCCTTGGTGTGACACAGTAGTCACAGCCCCACAAGGACAGAACAAGGAATGTCAGCCCTGCCCTTCAAGGGTAACAGCAATGGGGCTGCATCTCACAGCACCCAAATCCTCCGCAGGAAATCCTCTCTGAACATAATAAAGTCCATCTTTTCAACAGGGATTTATCCTCAGTCTCTGAAGGACTGGTCAAAAAAATCAGCCTGTGTCAAATTCACTCCCAATCTAAAGGGAGAGTCTGGCTCCAGAGACAAAGTCCTACTCTCTGCACAGCACCTGGCACAACAGTGCTGTCCCCCAGGGCAGACCCGCTGCACAGATCAAAGCCGGCACCACCCAGTAACTTGTTTACAACACAACTGAGCACCAGGGCCTACCCAAACACTCACCTCCAACACCCACCCGCTCAGCAGTGCACTGTCTGAGGTCAGTATCCTTCATTCCAATAACTGTGTTACCTTCAGGACCACGACAGACAGTACTGCAGAAACCACCTCTGGCAAAAGATCTTTCCCACTGCAGAAAAACCAAACCCCTGCACATCACTGCACAGGGACTCCTCCAAATGAGGATGGGCGAGTTCTGCCTCCACACAGAACTGCAGCCTGAGCAGCTCCCACTCTGAAATACACCCCCAACACGAGAGAGGTCAGCAGCCACCTCAAAAGCTTTTCATGGGAGTGAGAAGGGAGGGACATGGAAAATAAGCAGTCACATGCATCTATTAACAGGGCTATAGCAAAAGTTTAGGTCCTTAAAAAAAACACCAAAAACTGAGGTAAGAGCAGTGAGACAGCACTTCAAAGCTCAACTTCCCAGAGTTCAGATGTCTCCTTCCCACTTGACTGCCCTGGTTAAAGCAAGACCTGACACTACCCTAATTTTTCCAACTTCTCACAAATCACAGTGACTGAGAAAGCAACTGTGGCCACTGCATATCCACAGAACATCAGCCAGAAGTAGAAATCCACCTCTCACACTGCTTTGGCTTAGCATTCAAGATTTTAAAGCACTGCAAGAGAATTCACCACTCATCCCCATTACCCACAGCCCAACCCCTCACACGCTGCACTGGGTTTGCCTTACTGAACAGCCAAGGAAGTGTCCAGCTCCAGGGAACACTTTCAGGCTTTCCCACTGGGAAATATCTGCCACAGAGAGAAAGGGTTGCAAAACACAGAGTCAAGTGAACAGAACTGATCTGTTGCTCTGAACTGATGTGTTCACTCTCCATGCTTTGACCACACTGCTGCAAAAGCACAGCAGTATCTATTTCTCTGTCCATTTACCACTAGAAACCATTAGATTAGCTGGAATATCAGAGGTTACATATCAGTTTCCAGTGTCTGAAATACACCTCCAGGCCATTCACAGAATTAGGAACAGGCCTCTGGTATCTCCAGAACAGCAAGTTCCTCAAGCCATGAAGTTCAGGGGTAAATATTATTCCAGAAAACTGGGGCAGATTTAAAAAGCACTATAAAGAATCCTTAGGACACCTCGAACACACCTTACTGGCAACTCACTTTTGAGTAGGTTTTTTCCTATTCCTTGTCAGCAGAGATTTACAGCCAGTGCAGGGCAGCACACAAACTCCCAAGCCTTCAAAACACACGTTTTAAGATTATAACATTTTTCAACATAATAGAGGGTCATTTCCCTGAAGGGATAAGTATAGAAACACTCATTGCTGAACTCACTGACCGCCTGCATTTTGTCTTGACCATAAAGAATAGTTTAAATAGGACAAGCAGCCTCCCACGGGTTCAGCACAGGATGTGGCTGCCCTAGAAGCATCACAGCAGGATACTTGACAATGACAATCAAAAACTTGAGAATGACAAAAAACACGTTTCAAATGCCACTTCAGCAGTCCATAACAGAGCCCATGAGAGAGACTGATCTCTGCACTCACAGTACAACCAGCACGTTCCCAACAGTGGCCACTGTATCCAGCCTTATTACCCTGAGGTTTGAGAGCCCTTTCATCTTTAGCTCCTGATCTACAGCTAAAGACAAACATTTTTGTTCTGTGGGAGCCTGTCCTACACAAGACAAACCTCGTATTTCACAAGCTGAAAGACTTTGGATAGCTTACAAAAAGAGGCAATGACATCCACTTCAACCTCTTTTTCACAAGGAGAGGACAGTTCTGTAAAGAACTATTCCAGAAGAGCTTTCAGACAGTTATCTTGGCATCTCAAAGGAGATTATCTGGTCTTTCAGATGAGTTATCTGGTCTTTTGAGTTGCTTTATGTTGCAGTTTTAGTTGAGTGAGAAGGATTTTTAGTGATGAATTTTTCATACCACCACATGGGATGGACTTTTCAGGCCCATAACAGAGAAAACTAGTAAAACAGCATCCAGCTGTCCAAGTCTCCTGCAGCAACCTCACTGAAACCTGACCCAGCTCAGTGGCAGTACACTGATCTTGCATGTGACTAAGGAGAAAAGCACTTTTCTAACAGAGAGACTGTGCATATGCCTCACAGGCAGCAAAACTCCTCCCAACTTGATCTTTAGATAAGTCAAGGGAATCAGTATTTCAGAAAACTGAGCCTGTGAAGCTCAAAAGGTTACTTAAAAATAGTCAAGGACTACACACAAAGCCTGCAAAGGTTTGGAAGTACAGATGGATGGACTGCACAGTCTAAATCCAAACACATTCAAGTCACACTCCATAGTTCACCACACTTCCGGATCTTTGCAAAGGAAAAAGGAGCCTCAGAAAATGTTAACTGTAGTCACTGGCTATTTTAGCAACATGAAACTCCTTTCCCTAAAAACAAAGATGCAGCAGGAGCCAAGAGCACAAGCTGGAGCCCAGGCACTCCTGACCTGGAGCTGTTTGCACTGCTAAACTCCCCCACAGCATCAACCCCCAAAGAGAAGGCAGATTTGCAGAGCAGTCAAGCAGCAAGAACTGAGCAGATAGAGGAAAGGCCCCCAGCACTGCTCTGGAAGGCAGCAGCATGGACTGACTGTCACTTTTCCCTGCTCTATCAGTCAGTGTCCAAGAGGAAAGCAGGCTGGAAGAACAGGGATCAGGGCATGCCCACCACAAAGGTTGGTTCAGAAGGGAATTCCTGCTGCCCTGCCCCACCACGACCAAAGAACCGTTCTCACACTTACCGTTGGGACATATTCCGATGGGAATTTATTTGTTGTATAAGAAATTAAGAGACAGGTTTTACCAACAGCACCATCACCCACGACTACACACTTGATCGTCTGCATAGCTGAAATCTACTAGAATATCAACTCCAAAGAGAACCTGGAAGAAAAAAAAAAGAGATACATATATTTACATGTTTCCCACACTCACTGGAGAGCCGTCATCAAGGAGCCCAAACCACTAGCAGCACATCTGGGATATGAAAACAAGACATTTTTAAATGAGCTTTTAGATCCTTTCTCTCCATCACACACACAACAGGAAGCTGCTCATGGTCACAAATGAAAAAAATTTTGCCTAGTTACCTAGAAATGGGCAAAACCAGTCTTGAGGCTTTTCCAGGTTCTGTTTTTAATGCATGGAAGCATCCAGTCCCAGATATTCTGAAAGCTGGAAGTGTAAACTCTGCTCAGGAACACAGCTGCCTCCCAGAGAGCTCCCTCTGGAGAGCAGCTCAGCAGGAAGCACAGCAACATGTGCTTCGAAACTACTTTATGGATAAAAATAAACAAGTACAGACAGAAATAAATATGATTAATTTCTCCTTCCCTCAGCTTTAAGGCCTAAGCACAGTTTTACAACCTTTTGGTTAAAGCTGCTACTTAACACATCCCTTTATCCCCACTTTGAAGTGCTACCAGCAATGAGAGCTCAGCAGGGCATCCAGATCCCAAGGGAATTAATCTCCAGACATCACAAAATCCTGATGTACCCAACTGCTCCAACACTATCCCAGCAGAGACTTCAGCACATGAACTAAATCAATATATGCCATCAATACCTCCATCCAAACATTAGCTGGCTCCCTCCAGTGTCAATACAGCTGCCCTTCATTAATATATTACTTTAATTAGAAGAACACCAGGCTTCTGGCCATTTCTTCACATACAAGTGTGAAATTTTGACCCCAACAAATTAGTGGCAAAGCTCCCCCTGACTTTCAGCATTTCTGTATTATCAGAAGTACTTTTATTTACAGTGACAGAGACTTGCTGCAAAGTCTCTGTAAAATCCTGAGGGGGGCCAAGGGGGTGTTTAAAGCAGCAGATTCCCCCTCCTCTGAGGGTGCTGCTGTGGCTCTCTGTCTGGGTAACTGCACTAAAAAACCCAAATTGATCCCTCCTGAACTGTGCACTTGGACACTTCCCAGTGAATTCACTCCTTACAGTGGTGTGCAAGAAGCAGAAATCGATTCCAGGTTTTTGAGGCTCTGGTCACAGCCAGTGACATCACAAAGGACAAAATGCTCTGAGTTGGAATCCCACATGGATCACCAAGTCCAACTTTTAAGTGAACAGCCCAAACCCATGACCTTGGCATTATTAGCACCATGCTCTAATCAACGGAGCTGATCTCAAGGTGTTAATATGACTTGATACTGCACATGAGCTTGTCATGCCTGCAAAGCAAAGGAAATCACTATGGACTCCAAACAAACATACCATCCCCAGCTCTTCTTCAGATGCTGCAGGGATGCTCAAAGACTTCAACAAAGCCACCTCCCTTAAACAAAAATGCCCAAAAGTTCCTAAAAACGGTACTTGTAGGGGAATACTCGTCACCATCATTCCCACAAGCCCTGGACAGATCCACAAGCAGTTTTAGGAAATGGCAGCAAAGACTCTTTCTCAGAGCAGGCCACCAGCCAGCACCTGGTACATCAGGCACTCACTGCCATCCTTATCTATGTATCCTCTTTCAGCAAGCACAGAGACAATGACTGACTTGTATAAGCATCAGGCACTGCCACCAGTCCTCCACTTAGTGCCCTATTTCAATATCAAAATAATAGAATCTGTTGATTTATGCAGATCTCAGGTTCACAGCAGGCATTCAGCAGGATGCACAGCACAGACCTACCAATAGGCCCTTCATTAATACAACAAAAAGCTCTGAGATTTGACACTGAAGCAAACACATATTTACTCAGAAGGACAAAGCAATCATTTCCATTTCAAAAGGCATTTTCAGTGTTCAGATCAGCTCAACTGTTTACATACAAGCAATATGAAGTCAGGTAACAGCACTGAACATCCACCTCTTCAGAGAAGCTCCCTTTCCACCCTGCCCTTCCCTCTGGGCAGCCCACAACTCCTCCATCCTGTAATCCTTCCTTGCTGCTCTACCTCCCTCTTCTTTCTGCCCTCTTTCCCAATTATTTGCATTTCCTTGTTTACCTGTAATTTGCAGGTAACACATCTGCTTCAGACACCTGCCCAGAGCCCATTAAGCACACTAGAGGAAAAATCCGGGTTCTGAAGCACTCCCTGTGCTCACTGCAGCACAACCAATCCATGATTCTCTATAAATCCAAATTTTATATATGCACTCGTACCAGAAAAGGTCACACACAGGCCTTTGTGAAAAGAAAAACAAGTGTTTAGTGTTCCTCTTTAAAGCTGATTGCTCCAGAGAACACCAAGCAAGCAACAGAATGAAGCCACAGTATCAAAAAGCATCTCAGAAAGCATCAGAAGCCTGCATTTCTTCCCTGTCCTTGGACACAGCCAAGGTCTGGGAGAGAAGCTGCTGTTCTCTGGGAAGGGCTCAGGTCAGAGACTGGGGCTAAGACACAGCACTGGCTGCACACACACCTTGCCCACAGCTCACATTATCCCTGCCTGGCACAGAGCTCCTGAAGTGAAGCACTGGCGTGGTGCACATCAACAAATCAAACACACACCCCCTTCACCTTGGTTTTTAATGGTTATATAGTTTTATCTTTAAATACTGAAAAATGATGGCGTAAATTTTAAACAGCTTTAGAGTCTTGAGCATAGGTCTCCAAAGTCTTAGCAGTGGGAAAGTGGAGTTGTTGAATAATTATTTTCCTTGGATTAGCAGGCTTTCTAGATTAGCTGGATGAATTACTTTGTGTTTTGCACTTCTAAGAAGTCCATAGATCACAGCTGAAAATAAGCTTGTTTCTAGGGAGCTTCAGTGCACCTGGGACTTACTCTTCCATAGGAATAGCTTTAAAGATATATGCATTATTGACTTGTGGTTTAAAAGTAATTTAATCCAAAATGAGATTAAGCAGAGAAAAACATCCCTAGAGTGCAACGCCAAGGGAGGTAGAAACAAAGAGGTTACAGAGGCTTTGGGTTTGTTCTCCCCCTGAAGTCACCTAATAAAAGGAAGCCTGCACATACAACACTCAGCAGAACTAGAGAACACTTGAAGTAGTTTTAAATATCTGAGGGAATTGAAACAGACTGGAAAGTGCTGAAGTCCCAGTCTGAGTGCAGTGAGTGGATTTAGAGCCATATAATTGTGAGCCATCTGGCCAAGCCCAGAGAGAAGAGCTGACAAAGACTGGAAATGTAATGCAGGTCAATATGACTTAGTTCTGTTCAACAAGTTCTAAAGAGTTCTTTAAAAAAAAATAAATAAAAATTGCAAAAAAAGAAATGGAGCACTGAAGTAATTTCTCAAACCTCTCTGTATTGTAACCAAAAATTTCAGTGCTTCAGTAAAGTATGTGTTAACTAATGATACTTCTAGTATCTGTTGGATTTCAAGCTGTTCAGCAACAAGGATTTCACAAAACTCAACAATGTCATAGAGAACTGGGACGTGGCATGCTGGAAACCATGGATTACACAGCCATGTAAACTTTGTCAAATTCACAGGCCATTTTACAGAATTTTGCTTTAAAACTCAGTTACACTTTTATGGGAGACAGTTGATCTGCATTTAGGACTAATCCCAAAAAGTGTTAACAGAGACATGAGTGTTGCAACAAAGAGGGAACTGAAGTCTCCAGCAGGACGTTGTGGAGGTCAGTAATCCTTCCTGGGGCAAAGGGAACTCTGCAGTGATGCACTTGGGTCACACAGCCCTGTGCAAGCACCAAGACACTGAATGATCACAGAAGGCTGAAAAAATCCACAGTACCTCTGGCAGGTTCCCACTGATTAAACACAAGTTGCACGAAATACTGTCCCAAACACACCTGACCCCTCCCATGCAAGCCTGACTTTCCCATTCTAAAGGCAAGCACGTGGAATGGGAGCACTTTGGGTTTGCAAACTGTAACTTAGAGCAGCTGCAATCTGTTCCAGTACCTGTGTGCACTGCTGACTGCAGAATTAAGTGAAATTTGGTGGAATTTTGTACACAGCATTCCCTACTACACCCAGCATAAGAATCTGCATGATCTCACCTTCACTCTTGCTGTAGGTGCAACACGAAGCAGAAACCACAAGCCTTCAAGCTTGTTACAATTTCTCTTATTCTAAAGGCACTGAAGCCCGTTTTGAGGTTGTGTCCGTTCCCCCAGCCCGAGGAAGCTGCGCTGTCAGGTCCGTGTGCACATCCTGTGCTCGCTTCCTGCCGAGCCCCGGCAGCGCCGCCGCTTCCTCTTTCAGGCAGGGCTGAAAGTGCTGCCATTTCGGCTCCCTGCAAGGCACCACTGGCCAGGAACCCTTTCGGGGCGCTCTTTAGGATACACCACTAGCTCAGAAGTTGAACCCTAACCAGTCCATCGCAGCTTCCAGATCCTGTTTGGGCATCTGCTCTGCATTCCAAGAAAATAAACAAAGCCATTTCTGAAAATTAAGATTATTTCCCCCTCCCCCAATGTGATTTTACAGTGAACAGTTTATTCATCTAACTCAAAGCACTCGGGAGTCCACAGTGAAAGGAACAACAGTCACAGGATTTTACTCATGGTCTGTAGTAACCATTTTTGCCCTTCCACAGTACTTTCACTTCTTATCTTATAAAACCACAGAGTTCTAAATAAAGTCTTTGTTTGTACTTGATAATTTGTTCCCAGATTAATCACATCCATTTCAAGGCACCCTTGCCCCACCATTTCAAGGTCCTTGCCCTCTGCCACCTCCTCCAGCCCTACCACAAACTAATCTTTCTGTGCTTTTCCAAGCGACAAATCTCTCCAGTCAGGGGCAGCCAGGAGAAGTCCTCGGCTGCTACAATCCCAGCAATCCAATTTTCCTCAGCAAATACCTACCAGCATTACATGGAAGATGTATTGCACACCTGTATGACAAAGAGGGCAAAGGTTGCTGCCTAGCTCTCTGCAGAGATCCCAAACCACTAACCCAGGGATCACACGAGCTCAGCTGCCACCTCAG